AGCAATAAAAGAAATGATTTCATAGATATGATATACTTTTTAAAAACTGCGTATCACGCGTGATCAATATAAGATTCTAACAATACAACTTCATAACGGAATATAATCAGCTATTGTTTATTTTACATCTCTCATACTGCAATAATTATTTTACTGTGCATATTAAATGTTACAGGGAAATTCTCTGATAACTAAATCGCAAAAAATATAGAATTGGAAACTATGGAGAGAACAACTAAGCAACGTAAGTTTCTGTTATCTCTGATGACAAAAAAAATTGCGGTGGTTTAATTGCAACAAGTTTCATTAACAGGGAACAAAGCTTCGCGAAACACGGATGCGGAAAATGCAACGGCTAATCAGGAGGATGAGAAAGAAGTGCGAAGGGAGAATTCCAGCAACACGTTCAAGTACTACTTTAATAGATTTAGGTACTACCATTACTGCTTTGCTGAGAAATTGGACAGTTTGATTGGACTCGTGTGCCGGACAATAATCAGGATTTATGTTTTTTTAATGGGTTGGGACACGCAGCTTGGACAAAACGAAGAAATTATGAACCTGATAGATGTAGATTATGAATAAAACTTACTCTGTTCAAAGATGGAATTACAAATTGTAATGAAAAACAGTGGCGCATAATAACATTGTATAACAAAAGATGTAGCATTATCTTCAGCGTATTCATTTAGGTTTATCAGTTTCTGGGTATTACTTTGAATGCAGGATTCTTAAAGAGACGTGAATCACGCAGGTGAAGGAATACCTAAAATTGTTTCACTTCGTTTGAGTGTGGTTTGGGCTATCTCTTCAGGTAGGTAGTGTGGTGCAGACGTGGAATTTGAGATATTCACGAGTCGATCGTAAAAAATGCAGTTCAATCTCCGCAGGTTCTCTATATACACTGTACGTAATGGAAACCTTTTTTTCTAGATATTTTTGTCCTTTAGTCATGTCACGAGACTTTGGCTATCGGTTAATTTCGAATATTTATTTGTCCCCAAAATTATATTCCTTACTTATATCTCAGATTTATAAAAGCATTTCTTAAAAGATTACAAACATTATCTGTACTTAAAAATACACAAAACTGAAACTACATGGACAATTATTGAAGAATAATATGTCACCTACTGACATGATTCTCAAACTAAGTCAGTCAGTTTGAAATAAGATAAAAATAGTCAAGAAGGGAGGCAAGAAGTATATCAGGTGAAAGAAACGAAATTGTTCTTTCAAAGGCGAGCAAGTTGTCCTATCAACAATAGACATTTCCCCACTGTCTGTCATGGTGGCCTTATTGATACGCGTATTATATCATGTATCGGAACATTTTTCTCCCATTGTGAGCTCGGCATCCTGGCATAATGTTCAAGCATGCGGAAAGAGATGTCTCTGGATTTCAGATTTACTGTGAATATTCTTGTACTATATTATATTCCTCTAGACTGCGGCCACATCAGCCGCTGACAATATAACATAAGTGAAATCGATAACTTGCGATAATAAGTGAATAACTGAACAAATGGAAATTACTCTTTACTGTTTCAAATCGAAACCATCTTTTGTACGTGTACTTATGTGATTTAATGTGATAGTACTTCATATATATTTTATATGAATGGTCTTGTCGAATGAAGTTCAATAAATCAAGGTCAAACAAAATAACATGCTATCATTGCAAAAAGTATCCATTTATTATCGCATTGATTTCGATCCTCTTTTCCACGTTTCCAGACGCTGTCAGGTAAATCCCTATCCACTCAATCGAGAAATCGAAATTATTCAAATTGACGCAAGTTCAGGCGTTCATCTCTGTCATTCTAAATTCAAATCGGATAGATAAATACATTTGGATCCGTTGATTATAGCCATCAAAGCGAGAGATATATTTTTATTAGATAAGTATATCGTCATAAGCATTAAACGTTCGCTAATGAAGTAGCCACATTTCTCTATACATTCATCCCGTTTATTTGGGAACGGGATAAATTTCGAACGATAGAATGATTGAACGCTTTATTAATATTGCAATCATGCGTCACGTTAATATGTGATGACGCACCAACGAGTGAATTACGCTCGTTAATTGAAACTGAATTATCAAACTGCATCTGATAACGGGTTAAAGGACACTTATTACGAATCCGTGCTCCATGTTTCTCTTTTTTATACATCTTGGAGTACCAATTTAAAATAAAAATATTTGACTATTTCTATATACAAATCTAAAATATCATTCTAAAAACTATGTATAAACTCCTTTGAAATTAAATTCTGCAGATTATTCAGAATTAGTAAAATATTCTTAAATCACTCCTAGATATAGTGTCAATGTTATCACAGACGACACATTCGAGCAGATCTATTACATTATGAACTTTTCGGGCTGAAGTATTTCTAATGCGTTCTCATACATGATAAAGGATTGGTAGACGATAACAAAAATCGTGACAACAGGTTGACGAACGTCGCTCGGATCGAATTTGGAACCGACGCGATGAGGGGGAAACGCGATACTAGAAATCCGTTCACGATAGATCAATCAGGAAACGTTTTTAGAATCGGATTTACGGGTACTCGGTGGTGTCTGCGGGTGGGCAATGAAAATTTAAGCGCAGACCCGACGCACCGCGCGGCACCGGCACATTGGTGCAGGCGCAACCCTATGCTCGATAATTTATCAGGATCATTGCGAGAGCGGTTGAACGGCGCGCGAGAATAGGGCACCGCCGAATTTATGATAACGATAACATTGAATAATTCGTGGCAACGATTGATCGCGTGTGCGCGCCCACCACTGGCCGACGCGACAACCCTCCACTCTCTGGTATCGAGCTTGCGCGAAACCCGTCAAAATTAACGCATGATAAATAAAACGCTGTACCGCTTTCCTGATTACATCAATTTGTCTACTTCAAAACATACCCTAAAATTCGATTGATTAATTCCTTCTGAATAGAATTACTATTTTCCATAAGGGTAATATATGTATCATACAAAACTGATAAAGTCATTAATCTTGAAAGCGTGGAGTAGAAATGCATAGAGAGTTTTAACTTCGAATTTTCTTATGAAATCATCAAGAAAGCTCCTTAATTTTGAATGATTTTTGTAATACAGATTGAAAAGCCTGTCTATGTCACATGTTCTTTGCAATCTTTGAGTGCTACATTGTATGTTTACAAGAACTACGTTTGGTTCGAAAACCACAATTTATCTATTTAATAAAGTGTAAAAGTAAAATTACCGAAATACGGAAGCACAAACCATCACATTCAGTCCCGGTTAGAGTTGACGGTCCAAAGTTTTTGGTTGCACGTTGTGTATATACATACGTGTACGACAGCGTGCATAATATATAAAAATAAACGCGGGATCAGTCATGACTGTCAGACGTGTTTCAGTCGTTATTTGCACGGAGCCCGAGTCAAGGAATGCGTTCAATTTCCTTTACGTGGCGGTAAAAAAAATTATCCTTTAAAGAGGCGGCGAGAGCTGCTACGTAGATTCTTCGACAGTGCGGTTCTTCGGTCCACGGAATTTTCGAAGTTCCAGGATACCGTTTGCGTATCGTTTAGAGCTCATCAATTCACTGTTGAAATCCTACCGGCTAATATTTCGTGAGGTACGAGAATTCAATTAGACGGCACGTTTCAGTTTAATATCAGGTTGTAATACAATACGTTCCACTTTTAACAATCGGATATTGTTTCTAAATTCTTCATTGACGTAATTTAATTTAATTACCTAGTTAGATACTTTAATTANCCTAGATATAGTGTCAATGTTATCACAGACGACACATTCGAGCAGATCTATTACATTATGAACTTTTCGGGCTGAAGTATTTCTAATGCGTTCTCATACATGATAAAGGATTGGTAGACGATAACAAAAATCGTGACAACAGGTTGACGAACGTCGCTCGGATCGAATTTGGAACCGACGCGATGAGGGGGAAACGCGATACTAGAAATCCGTTCACGATAGATCAATCAGGAAACGTTTTTAGAATCGGATTTACGGGTACTCGGTGGTGTCTGCGGGTGGGCAATGAAAATTTAAGCGCAGACCCGACGCACCGCGCGGCACCGGCACATTGGTGCAGGCGCAACCCTATGCTCGATAATTTATCAGGATCATTGCGAGAGCGGTTGAACGGCGCGCGAGAATAGGGCACCGCCGAATTTATGATAACGATAACATTGAATAATTCGTGGCAACGATTGATCGCGTGTGCGCGCCCACCACTGGCCGACGCGACAACCCTCCACTCTCTGGTATCGAGCTTGCGCGAAACCCGTCAAAATTAACGCATGATAAATAAAACGCTGTACCGCTTTCCTGATTACATCAATTTGTCTACTTCAAAACATACCCTAAAATTCGATTGATTAATTCCTTCTGAATAGAATTACTATTTTCCATAAGGGTAATATATGTATCATACAAAACTGATAAAGTCATTAATCTTGAAAGCGTGGAGTAGAAATGCATAGAGAGTTTTAACTTCGAATTTTCTTATGAAATCATCAAGAAAGCTCCTTAATTTTGAATGATTTTTGTAATACAGATTGAAAAGCCTGTCTATGTCACATGTTCTTTGCAATCTTTGAGTGCTACATTGTATGTTTACAAGAACTACGTTTGGTTCGAAAACCACAATTTATCTATTTAATAAAGTGTAAAAGTAAAATTACCGAAATACGGAAGCACAAACCATCACATTCAGTCCCGGTTAGAGTTGACGGTCCAAAGTTTTTGGTTGCACGTTGTGTATATACATACGTGTACGACAGCGTGCATAATATATAAAAATAAACGCGGGATCAGTCATGACTGTCAGACGTGTTTCAGTCGTTATTTGCACGGAGCCCGAGTCAAGGAATGCGTTCAATTTCCTTTACGTGGCGGTAAAAAAAATTATCCTTTAAAGAGGCGGCGAGAGCTGCTACGTAGATTCTTCGACAGTGCGGTTCTTCGGTCCACGGAATTTTCGAAGTTCCAGGATACCGTTTGCGTATCGTTTAGAGCTCATCAATTCACTGTTGAAATCCTACCGGCTAATATTTCGTGAGGTACGAGAATTCAATTAGACGGCACGTTTCAGTTTAATATCAGGTTGTAATACAATACGTTCCACTTTTAACAATCGGATATTGTTTCTAAATTCTTCATTGACGTAATTTAATTTAATTACCTAGTTAGATACTTTAATTATCGGAAAGTTCATTGCTTTAATTGTTAACTAGTTAAAACGTTTAGCATGCAACGTAGACAAAGTTAGAATTAACTTCGCGATTATGGATGCGTTTAAGTTACGTGGAACGTTCCGAATAAGAATTATTTGCAGTTAAACTTGAAACGTAGACGATTCGAAATTTAATCGCATCCAAATTTAGTGTTCTAATCGAGCTTCCTGGGACGGCTGGCGCGGTGCGACGGCAACGTAAGACAAGCGTGGCAAATATATACGCTTTATACAACGTTGGGAATCTATTAGCGGAACTTGTTATTAAACCCTTGGGGCAAGCAATCTCGCCTAAACGGCAACCACATATGTTCCCTTTCGCGAGTTCACC